TGATGGCAAGCAAAGGAAGAGAGCAGAAAATAAACCCTTATTTTCTAAGTGACACATTTTTAATGCACTTGGAGGGGTGATTCATGCAGACGTGTGTTTATTATCTAACCGGGTGTTCTATTTTTTCCTGGCTCCAGGTTCTTTGAAGGCCCTTGCAGATATTATATGTGAACACCCCAGCATTCATAAAAGGTACAGGGCAAAGGGAATTAATGTTTGTTTTGTGAAACCTTTTAATTACTTCAAGGTAGTAAGAGATAACCGTGTTTTCTCTTTGCTGTGAACCAGCTGTGATCGGATAACGAGCTGGTTTTGTAACAGGCCTGCAAGTTTGTTTTGGGAGCAGTGTGAGGCTTTGATTTTATCTGAAATAGCTGGGGCATGGAAACTGCTAATGAGGGAGCCCAGGTCTCTCCCTGGAATATTTTTTTCTGGCTCCTGATCTTTGAATTCCTACCATTAGACCTACTTTCCAGAGTCTGTGTAAAAGTGGTACCTTTTCACTTTTTGCAGTAGTCGATTTGTGTTTGTCCCTGGCCCTGAAGACCCTGGTCCTGGTTCTATTTTACCAAGGTCAGTTTGCTCCAGAATTTGGAGTTAAATAGTTAAAGAAGGGAAGAATTTTTGTTGATCCACCTGCTGCTATTTATTTTAGACCTCCCCTGGCTGAAAATATTACTCAGGAATTCAGACAGCTGGTGCCATTTTCAGTTTTCACCACAAATCCTTGCAGGTAACGGTGCAAAGTGCTATTTTTATTTATTTGTTTATTTTACTAAATGACTGATCTATGTAATTTTCAAAACCTACAAATTTTGGAAAAATTGGTCTTAAATTTGTCAAACCAATAGAATTCTTCACATGCATGAATTGTAACTAGTTCTAAATGCATTAAGACATAAATAAATCAGTGCTGAAAAGCAATAGAGCTAGAAGTTTGACAGTGCTATAAAAATCCTGCTCAAAAGCATCATGTCTTTCTGAATCTGGAGGAAATGAAGGGAAGATGGGTAAATATTATTTTAATTCAAATGTGCTTTTTTTATTTGGCTGTATTAGAGAGAGATCAACTTAATAATGCAGCTCCCTAGTTTTTAGGTTCATCTTATTTAATTTCATTACTGTTTTCCACTTAGGATTCAATACTGCACCCAAGAAATTATTATCTTTCGTGAAGATTTGGTCAACAAAATGTGCAGAAACTGTGTCAGGTTCCCCAGCAGCAACATGGACATTCCCAACCACGTGAGTGAGTCGTGTTGAGCACCTTTTGCCAGGATTTTTGACCTCTTTATTGATCAGCAGGTCTGGATTTCGGGTGCTCTGATCCTCATTCTCACGACACATTGCAAGAGGAACCCAGAGGGACTGGAAGGAGGATCTATACATTTAGTATTTTTACCTTTCTTTTCATTTTGACAGTAAAATATCTCAAACCATGATACTTTCAGGTGGTATTGAGCCATTCTGTCACACTGCAGGTGCCCTTGAACACAAAACTTCCTAGCAGCCAATTTTCTGTGCACCAACCATGAATGTCTACCAAGAAACATTGATTCCTAAAGGCAGAATTGAACACAAATTATTTTTTTTGAAGATTTGATTGGTTATCCAGTGCCATTTGCAGTAAAGCAGCATGTCACTTTTCAAAAAATTCACCTGCTTGTTTTGTCTTCTCACTTGAAGTCTTAATCCTGCTTTTTATACATCAAATTATGGCCCTAGTTAATGAACCCTCAGCAGGAGCTGATGGGATTTACTGATATAATTGTATGAGAATGAAGCAGGTAGTACTGGCTCATTGCAGTGATGGATGGAACCTGGTTTTATTTATTTTACAGGGGGGTTTTTTTGTTTGCTTGACTCAGAAACTTGTTTTAGCTCTTTCTTCCTTCATCACAACAGTGCTCAGTGTCTTTGTGAACCCACAGTGGACAGCGATGTACCTTGATTTTGGTGTGCACATTTGCATTCCTGTCGCTTCCCTGTGCTCACAGAGGGCTTCCTTTCCAGGAAGGAATCTCGAAAGAAATGTAGAATTATGTACTGCAACCCTTTCTGCAGATGCTTTTGCATACTCCACTTTATCTCTGCCTTTTTTGGCCCTCTCACTATTTTTTTTTTAATTAAAAAAAAAAAAAATGTGGGAAATTTTGTTGCTAAGAAAGGAATCGAAATCATTTGGGAATCAACTGATTTCCTCGGTTCAGGGGAAAGACTGTTAAAGTGTGGATTTTGTTGTTAACTAATACTGTAAGGAAAGCCATGAGGGAAAAAAAAACAATCTATAAAATGAAATTTATGGCATTGTTGGTACTTCCTGGGCTGGAGGAACAGGTAAGTAGATTTTCTTGGAGAGTCTGAACGATCAAGTAGTTTTGATATCTTCAAATATTGCCTGATATGCTTTAGAAAGGACTTTGTGTATCGAAAAACCCCGCAACACAAAAATGAAAAGAGCAGCTGAGTGCTGTAGGGGAGCTGCTTCTTTACCCCAGAAATTATTAATGATCAGAGGGACTCAGATACAAAAAAAAAAAAAAAAAAACACCTTCAAGTTCAAAGCTTCTTTATTAACAAGCATTGGCATCTGTAGGAATGAAAAGCGTTCAAACCCAGGATTTCTGCTTCCCTTGCAGTTTGTGAAGACCATTTTGTCCCAGGGCCACCTGACCCCGCTCCCGCTGTACGTCAGCCCCGTGTACTGGGCCTACGACTACTCCCTGAGGGTTTATCCCGTGCCAGACGTGCTCGTCGTGGCGGATAAACACGACCCCTTCACTGTCACCAACACCGACTGCCTCTGCATCAACCCCGTAAGATTCCCCGGGGCCTTCCCGAAATGAAAAGCGGCCACGGTCGCCTCCCAGCGTGTCTCTCACCATCAGGTCGGTGTTTCACTTACATGAGAGTGGTTTGTACGTTTTCCTTTAACAGGGTTCGTTTCCAAGAAGCGGATTTTCGTTCAAGGTGTTCTACCCCTCCAACAAGACAGTCGAAGACAGGTAAATCTATTCACCTTCTCATATAAAATGAAGTGTTTCCTTATGTTCTGACTTCCTGATTATCAGGAGGAACACAGAAAATTGATAACATAAAGAGAGTGAGTGTTTTATCAATTTAACTGACTTACGCTTCATACTTAGGCAGGGTAAGAAATCCAAATGCCCAGAAGCAATAAATTTAGAAATTGCAGTCAGATATCAATGATGGGAAGCAGAATGCAGAAGTAAAAGGAAAGATGACTGTACTGTATGATTTTCAACAATTGAAACCTGATTGGGAAACAGATTTGTTTCTGGGGATGATGCTTGTTACATAACTTAATTAAATTTAGGAACAATTCTTGGTTCATTTTGTGATCATCTTCAAGCCCAGAAGCCACTTTCATGCTCTGATTTCACATATTTTTAAATCTGTACTTATTCATTCCAACTGTGGCCTTCCACTTACTGGAAAAAGACCAGCTGCAACACCAAAAAGTATTAAAAGTATCAAAGGCCTTACAGTGGATGAAAATTTGCCTGTTTGAAATAATGATGGTATAACCCCATAGGAAAAGCATAGATTTATCTTGTCTTACGGTTTCTTGCCTTGTTACAGAAGCCTTCCAAGGGAATTAATAATGAATCAGCCCATGTAACCTTTATTTGAATATAAAAAATACCATACTTTAGGTCTTTAAATAGTTTAAAACATTATCAAGTCTTTAATAGAGCAAGACATAGAATAGTATTGTGAACTATCTTTAGGAAAAAAACCCTAAATATTGTTTTTCTTTGGTATTTTCAGCAAGCTTCAGGGGCTCTGAATTTCTGCAAGATGGCAAAAAGGGAGTGAGCCCATGTGAAGCCAACTCCAGCTCTTATTTTTTAGATGTCTTGATTTTATGATGTATTATGGACTTTTTATAATAAATGTCAAATTTTGTTTACAAATAAACTTTTACAGGAAAAACCACTGGTGTCAGTTTAGTGTAAAGTGTAGAGTCAGAGTCAAGAATTGGCAAAGCATAGAAAAAGGCAACTGTGTATAAAAGAGGAAAGATCTGTCTTTAAAAAAAGAAATTAAGGATAGGGAGAACTCTGTCTAGTTGAACTGAGAGCTGGTTATCTGCAGGAGATACTGGGAATGTGGAATAGGATTCGTCTTTGGATGGGAAAGGTCCAGAAAAGATTTGTGAGGTGTTGTTTGAGGGCAGTACATAATCTGCAGATTGTGTTATGCAGATAGGGATAGGAGAGGTAAGATGAGCAAGGACATGGTCCTTTGAACTTCTGGAGAAGGCTGGGAGGATGAAATCTTGCAGAAGGAGCAGTCAGGAAGGTAGGAAAGAGTCAGGGATTGGTTTTTGATGAAACCAAGCAAAAACCTCCTCCACACGCTCGTGAGCATTGAGACCAGAGAAGCAGCCTGGGACTACCCCAAAGTGCCCAGACCAGGTATAGAACAGAGAGAGGACCCTTGTCACCAGGAATTGTGTTTCACAGACCCTTCCCAATGTGCTGGCATGGCCTGAGAACAGCTCAGAGGCAGGAACAGAGGGGAGAGCAGGATCTGGGCTCTGAGGGGCCATCGGGTAGGGGATGGGAGGTGGGTACAAGAGGCATGAACTGGACTGCCAAGGATTTAAAACCCAAACCACAGGACTGGCTGCACTGGCACTTCTGACCGTGCTCCCTAAGGGGATGGCAGTGCCAGCTCAGGGATGCAGGACAAGTGGGGAGCATGTGCTTTTCAGACAGATGAGATGATGGTGGAAAAGCACCCCGCTTGAAGACAAGCACGAGGGCCAAGAGCCATCAGGAAGCCACTGAGAGGCGGAGAAACGTTCAGCAAGGTCAGATGGAGAGCTCAGGGGTGGAGAGGCCTCGACCCTGAGGGCGAGCCCGCCATGTTGTTTGCCGTCTCCATAGCAACTGAACGGAAGTGCCCCGGCGCCGCCATCTTGTTTACCGTTACCACAGCAACGCCCGCCATCTTGTTTACTGTTACCACAGCAACGCCCGCCATCTTGTTTACTGTTACCACAGCAACGCCCGCCATCTTGCTCGGTGTCTCCACCACCAGCCCGCCCGGGCCGTGCGGGGCCATGGCGGGCGCGGGGCGGCTGCACGACCTGGACCTCAGCGCCGAGGAAGCTGAGCGCCTCCGACGCGCCTTCCGCGACGAGAAGTTCCGCGCGCTGTTCGCCGAGTACGCGGCGGAGCTCACCGACCCGGAGCAGCGCCGGCTGTACGAGGAGGAGGTGGCGGCGTTGGAAAGGGAACGGGGCGTGGAAGTGCGCTTCGTGCACCCCTCGCCGGGCTTCGTGCTGCGGACCAGCCAGGAGGGCTCCCGCCGCTGCTACATCAACGTGTGCAGCAACGCGATGCTGGCGGAGCCGCGGGCCCACGCCGAGCGCGGCGGGCAGCGCTGGGCCCTGCCCTACAGCCTGGCGCCGGGCCGGGAGGAGCTGCGCCGCGCCGGCCGCCGCCGCCTGCTCTACGACGTGGTGTTCCACCCGGCCGCGCTGCGCCTGGCCGCCCGCAGCGCCCCGTTCCGCCGCCTGCTCTGCGACACGGCCCTGGACGCCGTGGAGCGGCACTGCGGGGTGCGGCTGGACCGCGCCAACGCCGCCGTGCTCCGGGGGACCCGCTACAAGGGCGTCCCGCAGGCGCCCGTCATCCGCTCCCCGCTGCCCGGCGGCGCCACGAAGCCGCCCGACGGCGGGGAGTCCCCGCTGCCGCCCTTCCCCTACCCCGCCCCGCCGCCGGCCGACAACGGGGACTCGCCGCCGCCGCCTCCCTTCCCCGCCCCGCCCGCCGCCGGAGCCGCCCCGCCCGCCGGCCCCACCACGCCGCGCTGGAGCATCCGCCACCGCTCCTACGTGGACCTGCAGGACTACCGGCACAGCCGCGACTCGGCGCCCAGCCCGGTGCCGCGGGAGCTGGTGGTGACGGTGGAGCTGCCGCTGCTGCGCTCGGCGGCGCAGGCGGAGCTGGAGATCCGCGGGCGGGAGCTCAGGCTGGACTCGGTCCGTCCCGCCTACCGCCTGCGCCTGCGCCTGCCCTACGCCGTGGACGAGAGCGGCGGCCGGGCCGCCTTCAACCGGGCCCAGCGGCAGCTGCAGGTCACGCTGCCCGTAGTGCCGCCGGCCCCCGCCGGGCAGCGGCGGGAAGGGGCCGAGCCCGCGGCGCGGGGGCCGGGCGAGCCGCTGGGCGAGCCGCCGGAGGCTGGGCCGGGCGGCGGGGCCGCTCCTCCCCCGGGCCCCGGCGGCGCGGCCCGGAGCACGTGGGGCGGCGGGGAGACCAGAGATCCACCCGGGGATCCGCCCACCGAGCCCCCCGCTGAACCATCCCCTGAACCACCCGCTGAACCCCTCTCGGAACCCCCCTCTGAATCACGCGCAGAACAACCCGCTGAACTCCCCGCAGATCCACCTGCTGAATCCCTTACCGAGCCCCTCGCCGAGCCCCTCGCCGAACGTCCCGCTGGACCACTTTGTGGTCCACCCACCGAGCCCCCCGCTGAACTCCGCTCTGAACCCCCCGCAGAACAACCCGCTGATCCCCCCGCTGAACTCCTCGCTGAACCTGCTGAACCACCCGCAGAACCCCTCACTGAACCACCTACTGAATCCCCCACTGATCCACTCGCTGAACCCCAAAAACCACCTGCCGAGCCCCTCGCCGAACCACCCACTGAACCGCCCGCTGAACCCTCCTCTGGACCACCCCCTGACCCACCCGCTGAATCACCCACTGAGCCCCCCAACCCACCACCACGCTCCGGCGCCTCTCCCCCCATCGCCAGCCCCGAGCCGGCCGTGCCCGCCGAGGACGCCCCTCCGAGCCCTCCGCCGGCCGCAGAGCACAGCCCCGCCGGGATGGGCGCCTCGTGCCCTCCTTTCCAGGCCCGGCAGGACGAGGCGTCCCTCACCCTGCTCCTGAGAGTGCCCGGCATCCATCCCCAGAGCCTCTGCGGGGACGTGGGCACCCACCACTACAGCCTGCGCTTCTCCACTGACAGCGGTGCCTTTGCCCTGTTCCTGCAGTTCCCTCCCGCAAACAGGCTGCTGTCCCCCGAGACCGGAGTCAGCGTCTCTGCCCACAACGTGGTTGTGGAGCTGGCCAAGGCCCCCGACAGCACCGGGCCCTGGGAGAAGTTCAGCTTCGGCCTCGACCCCTCCGCTCTGCAGGTAATGGCTTCAAAGGGGCAGGTTTGGGGTGTCCCCTCCCCGGAGAGCCGCTGCTCCGCTGCTGGGTGTGGCTCATGTTTGGCTTCGTTGGTGAGCGACGTCTCGGGGAGGTGTGAGGTTGAGTTCAAAGCTGGTAGACACAGAAGTTGCTTCCTCTGAGAGCTGCTCCCGCATGTGAATGGAGTGACCTGATTTGAGCAAATCTTATCCAAGGTCACATCACGGAGCTGACACCTTCATCCTTGGGCTTGCAATTACTTCTGCCTCCCACGCTGACTTTTTTTCTAAGGGAAATTGTGGTGATAAGTGAAAACAAAGCCTGCCCTGACCTTTAAGTCCTTAGTGTTCACTTTTAACTCAAGTAAGTTGCTTGTGCAGCTTGTTCACACAAAGAAAGGAGATGTTTATGGTACACCAGACATCCACTCGTGCATACACTCTCATGAAGTGTGGATGGAGGGTCCCTGTGTCTGTATTTCGGGACGGAATCCCCACTTAGAGCAATGGGAACACCCATTAGTTCAACCAGAGCAGAACAGCAAACAGCAGCTGTGAACTGTCCATTTTGCTGGGATAAATCTTCACCTTCCCTTCCTCCCTGTCTGGATATGATTCCAGTTTAGTGGTTTATGATTTTATGGGTCCTTTGGCAGTGATGCTCTCATGGTGGGAGAAGGTGGGGTGGCTGCATCCAGGTGACAGTGCCACCTGGGAGCTGCCAGTGTCCCCAAAGGGATGCCCACCTCGTGGCACTCTCGCTGTCCAGAAGCACTCACACAAATTTTGTGGAAAACCACGTTATTCTGTAAGCTCAGAGTTTCAAACAGCTTCTCATGAGCAGGGATTAAGGCTGCATGGCTCTTGTGTAACCTTCCAGTCATGGGATTTGAAGTTTGGCTTGATTTTAGAGCAATAAAATCCATTGCATTTTGGATCATGTGCTGTGGGAGTGCAAGTCCGGAAAGCTGGCAGGCTTCAAGTATATCCACTGGGATGGACTTGCCTTGGAGCAGCTTAATTGCTCCTTCCCTACCACTAGAAATTACTTGTGCATGATTTTGAAAGATATTTATCCAATTAGTGTTTGTGCAGCTGAAACATCACATTTAATGTCCCATTTAGCAGCTGCACACCTTTTATAACAGCAATGCCTGTGAAGGAGGAGCTGATCATTTCGGGGAAGTATCAAAGATGATGAATTTATGGAGAACCACCCACGCTGAGCTGTTTGCAGAGCATTTCCTCTGCTTTTAGCGGAGCAGAAGCCTTGCAAGTCTGTGCAAGTGGGGCCACAGAGCCCTCAGCACTGCTCTTAGTGGCTGGAATCGGGCACAGGGTGCTGCTGCCACGTCAAATAAGCCACTGTGTAAACTACTGCCTGTTTTCTGCACAGGGACAGAGCCTGCCCAGGGCAGTGGTGGAGTCCCCATCCCTGGAAATGTTCAAAAGACGTGTGGGTGTGGCACTTGAGGACATGATTTAGTGATGAGCATGGTGGTGGTGCTGGGTTGGTGGCTGCACTAATGGTTTGTGTGCATTTCTTATTACAACTGGGGGAATATCTTGTGATTGGAAGTTGCTAAAAGGCCACCCAGTAATGAGATTTTGGGTTTGTGAGTTAAAAGAAACCCTTGAATGTGCTGATTTTAGTATCTATATTGCAAAACGTTTTGGGTGGAGTAGGAGGAAGAGATTGGGCATTAGTCATAGGCTTCCCAGCCATTCATTCACGTAGCAGACTCCAAAAGATTCTCCTGGCGTGGAGTCCTTTGGACAGTGGGCCTGCGAACTGAAGCAGGAGAAATAAACTGAAGTCATTTGTTCTGTTTGCTTTCTTTAAACTGATATTCCCCCGAAGTGCCTGTGCCAGCACTGAGAGCTGCACTCACTCAGAGTGAAGGGAGAAAAATTAATATTTAATTAGAGCCACTATTATATGCTGCCTTCTGGCCATTAACTATTTGCTCCTGGTCGCTTTTCTTCTACTTCTGTTGATTTCTTCAATTTGTCTGATGTAATTTCGGATGTTTCTCTGCTTTGGCTCTCATTCTATAAATCAGAGCTGTTGTTCTTGCACTGAGACCTGTAACGAGTTGCATCAGTCATTGCAGAGTGCACAAAGCAGTGCCCTGTTTGATCCCTTCAAGGAGCTTTTGGTGGCTGAGGGGAGCAGGAATTTTATCCTGCACTTCCCAGTGTGCTTGTTCATCATCTCTTCTCCCACAGCAGTGTTGCCAGAGGACAGTGCATGGCAAAAGTGAATCATGGAATCAGAGAATCCCGGAATGGTTTGAGTTGGAAGGGACCTTAAAGCCCATCTCATTCCACCCCCTGCCATGGGCAGGGACACCTTCCACTAATCCAGGTTGCTCAGAGCTCCATCCACTTTGGCCAGTGTTTTTCTTAACAGATATAGAATTCCTATTCTGCTATTGTCTGGGAAGTTGCTCCCTACTGGAGACTGAGGGTTGCTGTGTTGTTTCATGGAACAAATTCCTCTGGGTTAGTTCAGAATCTGCCCCTCACTGGAAACCTGTGCCACAGTGGCTCTTCCACCACCCTGAGCTGCTGCCCAGTTCTCTCCCATTAACTGCCAGTTTCTTCTTGGAAATTGGTCTGATCCAGATACTGGTAGAAGAATGAACTGAGCTTGTCCTTGGGACACTGTGCTTGAAACAGAATTTCAAGGACTGCTTTTGCCTTTGTAGTCATCTATGGCTAATCCCTGTGCTGGAAGATGACCCATTTAGAGCTCAGTCTCCACAGATGCTGAGCAGTTGGAATTTCCCACCCTTACCTCTTTTCAGGAAATCTTTACAGTGCCACAGTCCCCCCTGGACTTTAACTGTGAATAGTTTCACTCCTTGGCTAAACTATAATGTCCACACAGCAGTTGGACTTGATGATCTTGGAAGTCTTTCCCATCCTAAATGATTCTATGACTTGTTGACCAGAAATCCTATAAAAATAAAGATTCCATAGCCTGGGGCATCATGGACCAGGGTCACATATTTCAGGGGTTTAAAGGTGACCTTTTGTCACTGCCCTGGTGCTCCATCACTGCACCAGAGACCACACAGCACTGATCCTTCTGCAGGGCTCGCTCCAGGCCCTGTTTTTCCAGGGAATATCCTGAGGAAGCTTCCTGGCTTCCCCATTGCCAAAAATCACTGTCTGCTCTTTGCCTTGAAGGCCCAGCCATGGGCTGTGCTCCCTCCATTGCAGTTCATCCACTAATACCTGCTGCATCTTTTCCTTAAATCCTTAAATTCAGGCCTGGGAAACTCCTGCATCAGAGAGTTGCCCCTCATTTCAAGACAACACAGCCTGGAGAGTAAATGATGAAGAAAGAATGGTTGAGAGTTAAATAACCATTAATAAAATTTGTAAGCCTGCCAGGCAAGGTTTGTGAGAACAGCATGTCCCAGTGTGTCCTGGTTTATGGTAGAGCAGGAGTTGGGCAGTGACGGAAATCGTGCCTTTGGAAAGCACTGTCTTGGAATGTTTGGCCTCCTGGGGTTAAATGCTCAATTCTTAACAGAAATAAAAAGCAGTATTGAACTCCTGAGACTTGGAGGCTCAGTTATCAGAGCATGTGAAACACGTGTGGTAGCTAATTAATTCTGCCAGCAGTTTTGGGGTCGTGCGTGCTCATTTTCATGGGATTAGAAAAAGATTGGGTCACGTAGGAATTCCCTTTCATGCTGATCCACACCCTTCCTGCCCCTCTCAGCGGCCTGGAGTGAGTTAGTTCACAGGATGTGTGCTCATTCCCTGGTCAGTGCTTCTCCCTGGGAACCCCTCACTGCAGGAGGAATCACAGCCAGACCATCCCTTTCCTCATAAACCCCCATCTCCTCTTAGGGAGAATATTAAGATTTAACTCACATAAGCCCCCCGGGGCTCCAGAGAACAGCAGGGGAGCAGAGGAAAACAGAAATATTTCCTCTGCTTTCCTATGCATTACGTTTTTTTAACATTTACAGTCTGAAAAATATTATACTGAAAATTCCTGAGGAGTTCATGGTTGGAGCTAAGCGTGAGTTACGCTGTTTGTGAGGTGTCCAAACAGGAATTGCACAGCAACGTGGAAGCTTTGTTTAACTTCTCTATGAGCATTGATGAGGATGTTTTGGGTAGGTGTGATTTTTCTGCTTGCCACAGCCACCAGTGTCTTGTGAAGGAGATGTTTTGGAAGCTTTTGGTGCTGGTAAAATAAGATGTGGACCCATTGGAGTGGGTCCAGAAGAGGCCACTAGACTGGTCACAAGGCTGGAGCCCCTCTGCTCTGGGGACAGGCTGGGAGAGCTGGGGGGGTTCACTTGGAGAAGAGAAGGCTCTGGAGAGACCTTAGAGCTCCTTCCAGGGCCTAAAGGGGCTCCAGGAGAGCTGGAGAGGGACTGGGGACAAGGCATGGAGGGACAGGACACAGGGAATGGCTTCCCACTGCCAGAGGGCAGGGAGAGATGGGATACTGGGAAGGAATTCCTGGCTGGGAGGGTGGGGAGGCCCTGGCACAGGTTGCGCAGAGAAGCTGTGGCTGCTCCATCCCTGGAAGTGTCCAAGGGCAGTGCCAGGGCTTCACCACCTGCACAGGGAAGAATTTCTTCCCAATATCCCATCTAAATGTAAGTCACCCGTGTGTGGCTGCAGGTGGCAGAGCTGTGTTGCTCCCAGCGCAGGGAACATGTGGAAAAGGCTGTGGGCTGGATGTGCTCCCGTGGGCTCACTGCTGGGGCCGTGCTGGAGCTGTCCTTGTGCTCAGTGATCTTGGAATTAGGGCCCTTGTGGATAAATGTTTTTCTTGGTTTGAGAGTCAACCAAGCATGAAACCCAGAGAGCCATGTTGGGAAGTGTAAGACACGGATGTTTTACGGCTTTGCCACTTTTCAGGGAGAAATCCATCCTGGAGAGCTCTTCTGCCCTCATTTCCAAGCTGTTTGGAGTTGTTACATGCTTTCTTTGAAAGTCAAGGCTATAATTTTCAATTTCCAAGCTACTATAAAGACTTAATACAATAGTCAGGGGTCACTTCTAAGAACATGCTGCTGGAAGCTGGGGCTGTTGTGTGTAATCCTACAACAGTTTATTTTTGGTTCAGTTAATTCTGTGCTCATCATTTCAAGACTCTTGGCAAGTTTTTGGGGAGGTCAAGGAAGGACAGAGAAGGAGAACAGAACAAACTTATTATTTCATATTTTTCAGAGTAATCTCCTTCCCAAGCTGCATTAAGAACCATAATTAGTTTGCTTCTGCTATAAAACAAACTAATTTCTGCATAGCCTTTAATTGGTAGCTGCATTTTGGGAATAACATGTCTACACAAAACATTTATGTCAGGAAACATTATTAACCTACTGATTAAGCTCATCAAAGCTCCTTTTGAGCTGTTTAATCTTTGCAGTCATGAGCTCCTTGGAAAAGTTTTCACCCCACTACAGGTACGAAAACTTTGAGCTTCAAATTCTCATGTCGAGCTGGTTTGTGCTGGGACCCTACAAACCCAGAGGCCAGGAGATCCACAGATCCAGGTCCCTTTCCATATTGAGTTGGTGGTTGTTCCTAGAGAGGATATGTCTGCCCCATCCCTGGAAGTGTTCAAGGCCAGCCTGGAGCAACCTGGTCCAGTGGAAGGTGTCCCTGCCCATGGCAGGGGGTGGGAACGAGATGGTTTTTAAGATCCCTTCCCACCCAAACCATTCCATGATTCTGGGGTTCTCTGAGCTTCTCAGTGCAGGAGGCACACAAATAATTTAAACCCGAAATCTGTGCTGCTTTTAAAACTGTTGCAGCCTGTGTGGGAGGTAACTCTGGATGGAAATTGGCTACGAATTTGGATAAAGTGAGGCAGAATAAACCCGTTTGATTGCCGAGGGCAGCCGTGAGGGGCCCAGCTTTGCACCGGCCGTGCTGTGAGAGACAAGGGTGGCTTTGAATGATGAAGTGCTCTAGAAACCAAAGTCCTTCCTGCTAACGTTTATGTTAATTTGGTCTCAGTTTAGTCACAGGGAAAAATGAATGTGTACCAAACAGCAGATGACAGTATGTGCAGGGAGAAACAAATTAAATTGGAAGTTGCTAAGAGAGGATCATAAATACCAGAAAATAAACGGTTTAAGCCGACGAATTATTTTACAGGGTCATTGAAATCATCTGCAGATGGTTGTCCTCTGTTTGCTCTGGCTTGGAAGGCAGAGCAGGCTTTAGAATAAATGCCTGAGTCATTTTTTTCCAAGGTCTAGGCTTTGATAACATCTGCAGTAATATAAATGCCTCGGCGTGTGCTCCCTGTGAATTCAAAGTCTGAGTTACAGTCTCAGGCTAATGATAATCACCTTAGTGACAACAGACACATCCAAGGTGCTGTGATTTATGGCAGGCCATGGGGTAGGACTGGGATAAAATGTTAAATACTTATGGGAGTACTGTGTTGGGCTGGGATGAAACTTTATAGCAATCGGTCAAAATTAACAGAACATCACAAGTGGTTACTTTTTATCCTCGTGTTAAGTACTGATTAATCATGGAATGTCCTGAGCTGGAAGGGACCCACAAGGATCATCCAGTGCAACTCCTGGCCCTGCACAGACACCCCAACAATCCCACCCTGTCCCTGAGAGAGTTGTCCAAACCCTCCTGGAGCTCTGGCAGCCTTGGGGCCGTGCCCACTGCCCTGGGGAGCCTGTTCAGTGCCAACCACCCTCTGGGGGAAGAACCTTTTCCTGACAACAGACCTTCCATTCAGTTTTTGTTTTTAATAGTATTTACTGGGAAGAAAACAAATTCTTTTACTTTTAATCAGGAAGAAAATCTCCAGAAAGATTTCTTGGGTTTGTTGCCAAAATGCAAAGTCCTGATTGCATCGAGGACTGTCCCTCCCTCAGGCAACCACGTGTGCCAGATGCAGGTTCAGAGGGAAAATAGACTGTTTTCCCCATTTTGTGTAGGAAATGTAGGATGGGGCTTGGAACGACCTGGTCTAGTGGAAGGGTGTCCCTGTTTCCATACTCTGACACCTTCTCTTGGACTCTGGAGAGTATTCCCACAATCCTGGGGCACTGGCAGGTCCCTCTCTGGCAGGCAGGAAAGGATATAACATTAGGGAATAACTATTTTAGGCTTTGCAGACAGAAATGCAAGGAGTAGGTATGTTATGGGAGGGTTTTCTGTCAGGGCAGCCCTGCTGTACTTTAATCTTCCCCCAAACAGTTTCAGCATCCAAAGCTGGCTCTTTGCCTGGATTGTAATCTTTCTGGATAGAAAATGAGTTCAATCCTCTGGCTTGGAAAACCAACAATATCTGTGTTATGACTTTCCATATTGTGATTTCTAATTTTAATAGTGGAAAAAATAGGACGCTGGGTTATTTTTCCCATACTGTTTGGTTTTTTTTTTCAAGATGACAGTTAAATTTTGTACCTCAGACACAATGTGACATCTGGCTGTGCATAAGGCTACGTCCACAGGGGGCCAAAAATGTGCAGAATTGCCTTTTTTGCTTCTCAGTCTGCAAGATGTCAGTGATAATTGAATTTAACTTCCATTGGATTGACAAGAGGGTTGAACTGGACCGAGGAATTTTAAAGTGTGACTTAAAGTGGAAGGTTTGCAACTTCTCCCTGTTACTTCCAATTAAACAGGAAAGGTAATTCCCAGAGCACAAAACACTCCTCTAGGTCAGAACATTTTTATTGTGCCAAAGTCTGTCCTCACCCTCAGCCTACACAGATGATTTAGGAATAACACAAGCGCGGGGAAAGCTCTGCAGTTCTTATGAAACAGCCCCTCCAGGATGTGTTTTAGGACCTTTAATTACCTGTAACTGATTTAAATCTTTAAACCTGTAGCAACATGTTTCACATTGTTTATGAACTGCATATGAACGGCCTGCAAACACACCCCAGGCTGTCCCTCTGCCTCTGGATAACTCTCCTTGTTTTCCAACTGGCTTGTCTGCATGGAGATCTGAGCAGCCTCCCTGGCTGGGTGTGAAATGGATACAGCCCTGCGTGTTCCATATCTCATCTGGGAGCTGAGGGTTCACAGATCCCGCGGGGACACTCCAAGGAGGTGTTTGTGTTTTCCCAAGCACATGAAACAAACCCATAACAGTGTCACACCTTCCTGGTGTTAAGCCAGGTGAGGACAGTGGAACGATGTTGGTGCAAATCATTCCTCAGAGAGAGTCTAAATCTTATATTAATCACGTGTCCATAGAGAGAAAGCACTTTTATATTTGGTGTGATGCTGATCTGTGGTTTCAATCCACATGAGCTAAGCACTGCTCTTCATCCATTTCACCTCGTTACTCTGAATGTCTGGCTCAGAATTTCTCTATCAAGGCATGAATGAGCTGTGAAACTTGTGAAGTGTCCTGGCTTTCTTTGCAGTGAGTTTTTAGCCCAAATATCACTAAAGTTTAGCACAAAAAGAACATAACCTGCTCTTTCTCTTTTTTTTTTTCCTTTAGGAAAGATTGTTTGTCACTGAAGAGAACGTTGATGGATTTCTAGGCACTGCTTTATGCCCTTCTTCTTGCTCCCAATCAGCACTGGAAAGCCAGCCATTAATTGAAGTGCTGGAGGTTTCTGAGGACAGAATTCAAATCAGGGTGGAGGTGAGGATCTCTGGGAGCAGCACACGCTCTGGCTGATTTATGTTCTTCAGCAAGATCCTATCAAATCCCACTGATACGTCTCTGTTCCTGTTTTGTCTTCACAGAGTGGGGAAAAACCAGGAGTGGGGTTATTTAAAAGTAGAACTGTCAATTTTCAGAAGCACAGGTTGTGTTTGTGCCATTTGACGTGACCAAGGGATTGAAACCTCCTATATTTCACTTGAAAAAGGAGAACTGTGATCCAGTCTTTAAAGACAGTGCTTTCTCCTTGCAGGAATACTTCACTCTCTCAGCCTTGTACAGGTAGAGAAATCCTAGAGGATTTTGTCTGGGAAGAATCATGTCTCCTTATCTTTATTCAGTCCAAGCATTTGAATACTTGAGGGGTTCCTGTTGTGTAGATAATTAAACATGAGGCTATTAATCTTAAACACTGGTCTCAAATTCACATTTGTAATGTTTCAGGCCTCATTCAGGCCACTCTTCTCCCTCAGTCACCTTGTCTACATAGAGGATGCAAGACAGGCTGTTTCTGGGATCTGTCACGGGATTCAAATGTGCTCCCGTTGCAAAACAGATGGACAGAAGAAGAAACCAAAATGTTAGTTTTGCAAAGGGGGAAATGTAAAGCCCCCCACATTAACTGGGATTTCTTGGCAGGTACTGCATCAGAAATTCAGATTAAACTTTTCTGAAAGGAAACATAAAATGCAGGGACAGTCAGGTCACTGCTGTGGCCGTGAACTGGGGTCTGCAGACAGAGTTAATGTGTAGGTGGCTTGTTTGGAGGCAAGTTCAGACGAAGAACATGACCTTTGGAACCAGGCTGGAGGCCCCAGGAGTTTTTCAAAGGTAGTGGCTTTACTTGGCAGGCTTAATGTGTGTAGCTAGTGCATATTGTACATAAAAATCTAAAATTCAAAGTGTTGGAAAGCAGATCTGTGTGTTTTGGGGCCTAAGAAAAGGCAGCTGAGATATCTTAAATCATCACACTCCTGGTGCTGTGCCGGGACAGCAGTTGGAGTCAATGATCCTTGTGGGTCCCTTCCAGCTCAGGTTGTTTGTTCCATGATTCTATGTCTATGTGGGAGAATCATCCAGTTTGAAGAAGGACTTATTGCTGTTGCTTTTGTCTCTTGCTGGAGTGAGTAGAGGTTTGGGGTCAGAGAGGGCTGAGTGTGTGAGAGAGCAGCTCTGTCTAAATCCACGAATCCAGCTGCTCCTGGACAGATCCCTGCCTGATCCTCACTGCCCACTGATAGGGACCTATGAGCTAACAGCAGCCTTTTGCAAAAACACTCAATAATGTTGAAACTGGGGAACTGCCATTTAGACAACACCTCTCACAGTTCCTCCTCTCCTGAGGCAAACCATGGCAATTCCTGGATTAGCTCCACAGGCCGGTAATTTCCCTAATTGCAAGGTTCAAACACGCTCCTGCAATGAGAGTTCAGATCCCTTGGCTGATTTTGTGGCCCCTGAGATCTGGAAAACAGGCTGGGTGTGGTGAAAGGCCTTTCCTAATCCTGCAGCCACGGCGGCTGTGGTGCTTGGCCACTGCCCAGCAGCTTTTCCTAGAGCAGAGGAAACCCTCGGGAAGTGAGCAGCCTCCCTGCCACTCATTCCCACGCGCCAGACAAGAGCAGGAAAACCCCAGCACCGGGCTCACTTGGCTTTGTGGAATAGAATCACAGAATCACAGAGTCATAGGATGGTTTGGGTTGGAAGGGACCTTAGAGATCATCCAGTTGTGACCCCCTGCCATGGACATTCCACCAGTCCAAGTTGCTCAGCTGTTGGAGGAACAAGTGTCTCTGCTGTCTTTGCAGCAGTTTTGTGTGCACGGTTTGTTTCAGCTGCAAAATAACTCATTTATTTCCTTGACAGCCACAGGAACGTGATGGAGAAGGAACACTTGGCAGCTCGGGGGGAGACCTTGCTGGAAAGACCAACGGTGACTACCCCGAAACAAAGGCAGAAACAAACTGCCCTGCAGCTGATGGAGAACGTGCTGCAGGAACCAACACGGCTCCCACAGCTGAAACAATAGGAAAAGTAGGTTGTAGTTCACACCATTGTTTGGAGCACGAACCTCCTGACACCAGTTCAGCGATTGCTGGTGAATCTGGGAGAAAGGAACCAGATTTAGAAAGTGCTGCCGCAGCAGGCGACACAGCCCCGGCCCCAGGCTCTGCAAAACAAGGAGAGCTTCTGCCAGGGGGGCAGGAGGCAGTGGAAGGGCACGAAGAGGCTGAACCCCCAGGGCTGGACAGCAGGGCAGCCTCCCCTCTCCTACGAGAAGTGAACCTTGAGGACGGGAGCGTGCGGGTCCTCAGGGATCACGTAACGCGCTGCCCCGTCGTGTTTCAGAATTCCCTGCTGTATGAGTTGGATTAGTTTAATGGGTTTAGGATTTCCTTCTGTTGTTTGATGCTTATTGTGACTTCCACGTGCTGGTGGGTGACTTCAGGCCTCAGAGGTCCCCACTGGAACTGTTTCAGCATCAAAACCTTACGTTGTTACAATTTTTGCAGTTAATAGATCTGTTTTCTAATCACATGTATGGGCTGAAGTAGTTTTATTACAAGAAGGATGCAGTTGGAAGTGAATCTGAGCTCCTGGAAGAAAATGCATCTTCATTGTTTACATAACTTTTTTATTCTCTTACCAGATTTCAGGGATTATTTGTATATATCCTTGGTCTAATGGCTCCCTTGGGAATTGAGCAGTATTCATCATTTTTCAAACCTTTCATTTTGTGATAACTGCAGGATTAGACTCGCAGTGATTTTTAGCAATCAAATGAAATTTCTAATTACCCGGAGAAGTTCTAATTAGTCTCCTAGAAATAATCAACATCTACACCCTGTATTCCATCCTAGTGCAGTGCTTTGCAGCACCCAGACATCCCCCAGCTGAACAAATTCCATTGCACATTAACAACATCCTCTGGGTGCACGTGTGCTGTGAAGTATTTACAATTTGGGAGACGGATTCACTTTATCCAGATTTATTTTCACAGTTTCCCTCGAGTTTCCACGTGCTCGTTGCTGGTTCACCTCTCTAAAGTGCCATAACCAAAAGAACACATCTAATAATAAACTTCCAGTTCCCTTTCTCACTGGTGCTGAACCAACTTCTGTTTTCGTTTGAGCTCTACAAGACACGGAGGTGCTTTAGAGGAAAGTTAAATTTGCCTTGTATCAGGGCTGCTCTGGAATTACTGTCGAATTTCGGTGCGAAACATGAGTGTGTGCAGTGGGGTGTGTGGTGTGTTACTCTCTGAGTTCAGTGAAGCCACAGTTGCCAAAACACCTGCCCTGCCCTCCAGGGCAGCACATCCGCTGCAGGAGGGCGAGGGCTTTGCTGGGTTAAGTTTAACCCCCCTCAGCTTTTTTGGGGGAGGTCTCTGAGGGCTGAGGCACCAGCACAGCTTCATCATCACCCCTGACCCCGTGAAACAACACAGAGCAAGTGTGTTGCAAAATTGCAAATAACCCTGGAAAAAAAAAAAAAAAAAGACATTTTGTTTCTCTGACATACTTCTCTGTTCTACAAAAAGCTGCTGAGATGCTGCTGTTACCAGCTGTGCTTCAGAGAGCAGTGCCACGAAAGCAGCTGTAGTGACAACAAACAGCTCTGTGGCTCCCAACTCCAGATCAGCCTAGATCGCAGCAGCACTTTTTACTGGTGGTTTTACATGGCTAATCCGAAACCAACTTTTTTTTTTTTATTTAATTCAAACAAAAGAAGTGTTGTGCCACCAATTTTTTCTGCCTCAATTAATGAGTATCATTAAAAATTTAATGAAGTTAAATGCACACTGCTAGAAGGGGTGATGGCACTTTCCCAGCCCTCGGGATTAAAGAAGAGAAACTCCCCTCCCACCCCATCCTGACTTTTTAGGAACACGAGATGACATCATCCTTTTGGTGACAATCAAGGACTTCTCTGCAATTACAAAACAACTGACTTTTTATTTCGGCAGAACTAAAAAAATCATATATTTATCTACATTGTAGTAAAAACAATGAATTTATTTTTCCATCCTTCATATATTTCATCGACACATCGCAACCGAGCCGGGACACAGGGATCAGGCATGAGGTGACCCCGGGTGGGACAGCACACGAGGGCCCCCCCGGCGCGGTGTCACGGGCACCGCCAGAGCTTCAGCACCAAAAAAGATGCACTTAAAAGTGTTCTCCTCCTCTCCTCCTCCTCCTCCTCCCAGCAAACTCAGCAGCAGGTCACTTTTTGCGTAGGGGCTGCAGCACATCACCCATTTCCAAAACGTGGTTGCCAAACATGAGAGATTACTATTTTGGGACACCTTTAAACAAGAATGTTTATTCATATTAAAGCAGAAACCAACTCATAAATGCTGTTTATACACGTGTGTGCCTGTAAAAGACAAAATGGGACAACTCAAGAAGAAAAGAAGGCTGCAAGAGAAGGATCCTCACTGGAGTCTGCGGTAACTCTTACAGAGTTCGTGGTCCCTGATGTCTCCCCACCCTCCGTTTTTGACGTGAGGGGACAGGGGAGCCATGGAGTACCTTTTACTGACACTCATCGTCTTGGGAAACAGGTACTGTTGGTTGCTGTTCAAGAGAGAGTCGATTTTGGCACTCTGGGTGGACGGTCTGCAGGATTTCTTGTGGTGCATGCCACAGTCCCCCGTGTGAAAAATCCTGGGGATCTCGGGAACCAGCACTTTCCAGAACTTTGGAAGACAAGAGACAGTCAAGTGCTGCAGGGTCCAGTCCCAGTTGTAGTCATCGTAGGTGCAGAAGGCGTCCGTGCACTCGATGAGCTTCTGGTAGGTGTCTCTGCCGAAGGCCATGCCCATGTTGTGCTCCGTGGACTTCCACGTCTTCATCTCCACCTTGTCGGCGCGGCCGGCGAAGCCGCCCCGCACGGGGCTGTAGGTGCCCAGGGACACCACCTGGCACTCGGGGCACTCGCGCTGGCGCAGGGCCCAGAGCTGCTTGAGGACGTGGTAGAAGTCGGGGGCCAGGTAATGATCCTCCTCCAGGAAGAGCACGGGCCCCGCGTGCTCCCGCAGCGCCCGCACGCGCTCCCACACGAAGTGCAGCTTCCACCACCAGTGGTGCTTGGTCTGGGCGAACCGCGCCTCGCGGTAGTGCCCGAACGAGTCCGGGAACTCGGCGTTGATGCAGCCCAGGCGCAGCGCCGCCGCCTTGCCCACGTCGCGGGGGCAGTCGCGGGGGTCGTGGCCCGGGAACTCGCGCGGGTACAGCTGGATGCTGAACGGGAAGAACACCTGGAGCACGGCGCAGAAGTCCACGCGGGCCGCCAGCCGGTTCAGCTCCTCGGCCCACAGGTCGTGGCTCAGCACCAGCAGCACGTTCTCCACGCCCGCCGCCCGCCGCAGCGACTCGAGCAGCAGCCGCAGGTGCTCGGCGCGGTCGTGCACCTGCACCACGAGCACCAGGTCGGGCCGCGCCGGGAAGCGCCCGGCGTTCCGCACCGGCTGGTCGAAGTTCAGCCGGTACACGAGCGAGCGGTAACTCAGCGTCGCGTTCTCGGACAGCACCGCCGGCACCACCGCGGCGGCAGCGGAGGCGTTGGCGGCGGGGCGGCGCGGCGGCACCGGCGGCGCGGGGGGGGCGGGCTCGCTGACCCGCGGCGGCTCCCCGGTGCTACCGGGACCGCCTCGCTGCTGCTGCTGCTGCTGCCGCCGCCGGCCGCCGCCGCCGCCGGTGCCCCAGAGCGCCAGGGCGCAGAGCGCCAGCGCCGCCGCCAGCAGCAGCACCTTGCGCTTGTAGACGCGCAGCCGCATGTTCCCGGCGGCGGCGGCCCCGCTCCGCCGCTCCCGCCGCCGCCGCCGCCGCCGCTCCCGCTCCCAGCGCGCGCGCGCCGCCGCCGCCCCGCGCGCACACGTTCCCGCGCCCCGTTGGCCGCCGCCGCGCCCGCCGCCGCGCCGCCATTGGCCGCCGGGGCCGTCACTCAACCGGGCGCGAGCTTCCGCCGCGCCGCGCTCTGATTGGGCGGCGCCGGAAAGGGGGCGGGGCCGGGCCGTGAGGGCAGAGCGGGGGCGGGCGGGGAAATCCTGAGGGATCGGGGCGGGCAGCGGGAAATAACGCTGGGAATGCGCCGACAGCGTGAGGAAACCAGCCTGCATTCGAGACAGTGGTACATAAGAGCAATTAATTCTGTGTTTGAAGAATAACACGGTAAAAATGATGCTGGAGCGGCAAGGATAAGGTGAGAAAATGGCAGGAATGAGATAAAATCATTCCGGGTTTCGAAGAAAAAGATAAAATCCTTGTGGGATTGAAAGAATAAGGTAAAATAATTGTAGGTTTGAAAGATTAGGATAATTGTAGATTCGAAAGATTAAGAGAATAAAAACGGTGTAGCACGGCAAGAATTAAGACATTCACTCCAGGGCTGCAAGATTAAGATTAATTAATTCTAGAATTGCAAGTATAAAACGATTCCAGAGCTTTCAAGAGTAATACACAAGAGTAAAATAATTCCAGAATTGCAAGAGCAAGGTAAGAAAACCATCCTGGATTGGCAAGAATAATACAGAGTAAAATAAAATAATTCTAGAATTGCAAGAACAAGGTAAGAAAACCATCCTGGGTTGGCAAGAATAATACAGAGTAAAATAAAATAATTCTAGAATTGTAAGAACAAGGTGAGAAAATCATCCTGGGTTGGCAAGAATAATATAGAACATAAAACTATGCTGGGATTGCAAGAATAAAACATAATAAAATTGTTCCAGAATGGTAAGAATGCAAAATTCATTCTAGAATGGCAATAAATAAATTCTAGGGTTGCAAGAGTTATTTATTTGCAAGAATGTATGAGGAAAACAGTTCTAGAAAGCCAAGAATACAAGAGAAAAATCTAGACTTGCAAGAATAATGCATTTAAAATCACTGAAATGGCAAGAATACAAGGAAATAATTCTGAAGCTGTGAGAATAAGTAAGAAAATAACTCCAGAATTGCGAGAATAAATTAAGAAAATAGTTCTGGAATTTCAAGAATGATAAATAATAAAATAATTCTATCATTACAAGGATAATGCATCATCATTCTAGATTTTCAGGAATATAAGGCGAGAGTCATTCTGGAATTAGAAGGATAATCTGTAATAAATAGTTCCATGTTACACAATTATAATGAAGTAATTCTATAATTATAAATAATGGCAAGAATTCCTCTCCTAACTCTGTACTTCATGTCCCAGCCCCTCTCCCTGGTGGGCAGGGGCCAGTTGTGGAATTTGGTGCCAATTCCATGGGATGTGCCGGGCACAGGGCGCTCTGGAGGGTCCCACCCTGTCCCCCCTGGGACCCGTGGAAGGGGCTGGGGGAACATCAACACTCATTTCCACCCTTTTCACCGTTTCTTGCCCCAAAAAGGCACCTCCGCAGAGCCAAACTGAACATCCTGGGTAAAACTCCAGCAGCTGGGACACTGTCCAGTTGGGATAACAGAGCTCCCTGTCACACAGGCAGCACATGGATAAACACATTCCAGATCGCTCAGCTGAGAGCCTCGAGGGACAGGGCACAGGGAATGGCTTCCCACTGCCAGAGGGCAGGGTCAGATGGGATATTGGGAAGGAATTCCTGTCTGGCAGGGTGGGGAGGCCCTGGCTCAGGTTGCCCAGACAGGCTGTGGCTGCCCCTGGATTCCTGGAAGTGTCCAAGGCTTGGAGCAACCTGGTCTAGTGGAAGGTGTCCCTGCCCATGGCAGGAGTTGGAATAAGATGGGATTTAAGGTCCCTTCCAACCCAAACTGTTCTGGGATTCTGTGATGGCTGGGGAAGAACCTGTGCAAGGAGGGCTCCAGCACCTCCCACCCTCCTCCACGCTGTGCCAGCTCTGTGGCTTCAGAGGAGGAAGGGCAGCCAGGTCTGGTTGGGGATGACATTCCCTTCAGGGGAGCACAGCTGGATCCCCTGGGAGGGTCCCACGGGTGGGTTCCTCCTCTCCCAGCACACCTGGTTCCCTGGGAGGACCTGGGCCACTGCACAGCCCCCTCCCAGATCTGCATCTGAAATTCTGTAGGAGTCCCACAGGAGGCCAAATTTCTGTGCCTCCTCCACCTTCCTCCTCTTAATCACGTGCTCCAT